GATCCTATTTTTAGAAATTTAATTTTATGCAAGAAATGTCTTTGACATGGACGCGATCAGTATTTCTAAGCGATATCACAGCTGATTCGTTACTATCGCTCACACCACTACAATTGCTTTATATTAATTCAATTTTGATTAAGGGCCTTAAGGAAAAATAATAAACCACAAATATCCAAATCATTGACCTGCAGAGGTGATTAGGCTCGGCCCGGATTTGGAAAATTTTTATTTTTAAACCCTGCCAAGGATTTAGCCCAGCTTAGATTATTTTTAAAAAAATCTTTTTTTGGTCCTTTCGAGCCAAGTTTCCTTTAGGTCTCACCTGAATAAAATATTCATATATAAAACATGGATTTTCTATTCCAATTTTTAAAATGGTTATCATAAAGCTTGAACTATTTTTTCTATGATTCCAATATTGATATAAAATTGCAATAAAAAATAAAATTATCCACCCTTCTTTTGATCAAGTTAAAATAATAGAAGTTGCCACAGCCTTCCCATTTTTCTTCCCTTTCAAAAAAAGGTGAATCTTGTTTTGGCATACAAAGTCATTTTTAAACTGAATAGTTTGCCTGTTTAAGAGATGAATGCCTTTTATTTATAATCTTACAAAATAAATTTGAAGCAAAATCATTGACATTTTTTCTTCCTCTTCCCATTTATTTTGATTTTTAAAAATCTTTTATTAAATTTTAAGAAGAATAACGAGAAAATTTATAAGAACATACTTTAATCAGGCTTCATTATCTTCATATATTAAATTACTTATCAACAGGGTTGCCAGGTAAATTATTCGATTAGGGTAGATTTTCGTGTGTGGGTGGGTTAGATGTTGATGCCCGCGCTAAAAAATATTTTTCGAAAACTTCGCCCCTCCCCCTCCAACCCTCTTTTTCCCGGCCTCCACCGGCTTAAAAAGGAAACCAATTCTTAGACTAAATTTTCAAATATTTATAAAATTTAGGGTTTTTTTTTAGAAAATGATGATCATGATAGTTTAATCATTGAAATTTATACAAATTATTTAAAGTCTCGTAACTTTATTCATTATCAGATAAAACATTAAATTTAAGAATAAGGGGGATCCGATAGGAGGGAATTGATTTTATTTATTTTAAAATTTTCTTTTTTGGGCATTTATACGTGATATTTTTATATCAAAAACCTGATTTTTGAATATTTTTTGGAATATTGGGATTTTTATGGTACATTTTGGAAATTTAAAAAAATATGGTAGTTGAGTTAAGTGTGATATATTTCGACTTTTTCAAAAAAAAATTGTGGTAGTAGTGTCTACCAGTCAATGTGATAGACCTGGCAACTATTTAAAAAAAATTTGTGGAAGTGTCTACCAGTCAATGTGATAGACCTGACATATCATTGAATGTTTTGCTCATTTTTGGCTTTTGATGATTGGGAAAACTGCCTAATTTGAACAAATATTTTTGGTAGCAAGCTACGCTACATTCTATTAGTTATTGCTAGATTTTTTGACCCTTAATAGAAAAAAAAGATGTGGGATACCTGTTTTTAACTAATTAAATTAAAAAAATTCCTTCGGATACCGATGTAGTTTGGTAAGTAAAGGCTCCATTTTTAATAGTTAAAAAACGTTGAAACCGCATTTCTATGCTTAACAAATTTTTAACTGCACATACTTATATTATCAAGGATGCCGAGCAGTACCCAAATTAGACAAGTTTAACCCATATAATATTTGTCGATCACGACAAAAGGGGGATCATTTATTTTATTTTATTAATTTTTTATGTATGTTGCCTCAATGATTTTGTTTGTTCATGTCATTTAAATTTTTTTTTCCTTCCTTTTTTTTCAAAAAAACATGTTAATAAATTATGATTTAAATTACTGTCACATCGTTATGACATTAACCTCTATGTCTGATCTAATAATGTAGGTGGGGGAATATAAGGTACATGTATTATAAATATAACTATTTTAATTAAATATATATCATTCCATAATTATTTGGGAAATTAATTTTCAACAAGAAATAATTAGTAATGAAGGTTATTTTTTTCTTCTTTTAGAACCCTGAAAAATTTAATTTATTTCGGCCCGAGCCCGATTGAATTTTATTTTTTGGTCTCAAGTCCTACCCAAATATTTAGGTTATGTTTGAGCCCGACTTTATTTTTTTTAAATTAAAAATATATATAATTTAGAATTTTTTTAAAGAAAAACTGAAAGATTCATAAAATGAAAGTTTTTTTTGTAATTTTCAGAAAAAAACATTTGGAATTTTAGGTAATTTGATCAAAAATCTTGCTTGAGCATTCTCAAAAATTTTTTTGAATATTTATATTTTGAAGAGTATTTCAAACTGAAATAAGTTAAACGCGATTCTATAGTTAAATAAAAAAAATTACCAATTGCTTTCTTTTTAAGATAAATTATTTTAATTTTTTTTTCAAAAAAACCCGTTTTTTGGGCGAAGCTTTAATCTATATCCCCACCATTTAAATACACCCTAGAAAGAAATATAAAAACTCTATAAAGTTGGTTGGTAAGCAAATATTTTTACCTGAGTTGAATCCGAAAATTTTAAAGTATCTAAGATGATTTTATAGAAATAAAAAGAAATAAAAATTTAAGAATGGGCTTTTATCAATTTTAAAAAGAATGGAAGCGAATGTTTGTCTGGATATCAATATTAAAGGTATTATGAAAACACAAAATTTTACAAAATCCTATTTTCCATGAGGGGAAAAAGGTTTGGTATTTTGACCCTCTCCCCTTTGTCTCCACTACACTGGATACAGAGCTCAAGTATTTAGAGTTCTCATTACAGGTTAGATTAATATTAATGTAAATGAGTTTATGTTGCCTGCGAAATATATTTTAAATGAGTAATATAGTTAGTTCGATCGTTTATCGAACTATTTCAAACTTCTTATAAAGAACATGTTTCCTTTCTTTACTTTATTTTTATTTGATTCTTAGAAGTGGCCTAAACATAGTCCAGCGTGTCTAAAAATAATATTTTATATATGTATATATATTTATTAAAACGTTATTTTTTTTGAGCAAGACTTAATCAAAGAAATAATAAACTTTAACAAACACTATGTTTGAATGACGATTGCATTGCAGGGCGCCACTGAAGGAAATGAAAAAATCTATGATAAAGGGCAGAGGGAGGGGTTAAATTGAGACTTGCATTTTTGATTCGTTATACCTTTTAACATTAAAAATGACAAGTATTAAAACTTACTGTTTAATAGTTATAAACTATATATTAATATAAAAAAAATTAAATGATACTTATAAATATATTTATTTGAATCGACGCGGAAATGATAAAATTAAAGTATATTATAATGATAAACTTTTATCATTTTTTTAAAAAATATAAAATGTTAATGTCATTATTTTTAAAAATAAAATGTAATTAAAATTGCGTGATATTTTTTATCTTACAAATTTTTAAAAAAGAATTGCCCTAAAAGTAGTATTCTCACATTATAGATTCTTTAAAACATTTTTTCACCAAAAAATAATAGTAATTGTCACATTATCTACTAAGAGAATGACCGCTTAAATTTTATATGTTAGCGGCGTCGATGTGTTGATTTTTCAACTTTAAATTATATTTTAAGCGCGATTTTTTAAATTTAAAAATCTGATAACTGAAATATATTCCAACATGTTTAGAAGACCTATCGTATGATTTGTATACAATTTTTCCTTGTAACTTGAGTCATATAAAATTTATATATAAAAATTCCCTAGGTTCAACTATGTATTTTTATGAGATAAATTTTTTTTAAAAGCAAAAGTGATAGGCGCAAATTGTCCGTTGGTGGAAATAGCAATAGGTGAGAATATAATTACCGAGGGTTTTTATATTTAATCTTTTATTTAGTCTCTGCTACTTAAGCCGGTTACTGTTTATATTGGCAGGGAAGGATTGTATAATCATAATTTAGAGACTTGCTCATGGAACAATGAGTGGTCAACCAACGGTAGACTATCTTCAGCTGAAAGATTAAGATGTTGTAAAATGTTAGGAGAGCCCTTTTTTTTAAAAGGGGGCTTATTAATTTTATTGATCGAAGAGTGGCGTTGATACCAACCTCGACTTTTAATTCAGTTTTAAGTCATGTCTTCCTCAGTGTAAAAAATATTTTCGAAAGATTTTTGTTTTATATCGAATTTCCAATGAATGAATGATTCTCTAAAAATTTTAAAAAATACAGTGAAATCTCGACTTCCAATATTGATTTCCCGCCAAATAACCTATCTAAAATATTTATCGTAATATTTTTATTATGTTAGTCAAAAAAGTTTTCAAATTTCAAAGGAATTTAATTAAATTTTTGTTATGGTTTGGTTTTGAAGGATTAAGAATTAATATAGTCTAGTAAGTCTCTACAATACCCACCATATCTTAAATAACTAGAATAGTTTTAGTTTGCCATATATAATCCAAATATAAAATTTCCAATTACATATTTTTATTATTAGACTTGTATTTATATTGTGTAATATCGATTATTTTATATAATACAATATCAAAAAATATATATTTCAGGGAAGCAAACAAAATTGATTTAATTAATTATGCTATGAATAACATATACCTTACATTAAAATGAATGTTTTGTTTACTCATCGTTACGCAGTCTGCTATTTATACACGAATTGTAAATAAGTAATGATAAGATAACAAAATATCATAAATTTTTGAATGGGTTGACTTTTTATTTCCCCTCCCCTCCCCCCGGATTTTTCGGTGAAATGCTGTTAATGGCATTTATTTTTTAGAGAGCCCTTGCGGTGGCGTCGTTTGGACGAGGCGAGCCTACTTTCAAGGTGCGCCCTAAATTTAATCCTAGCCCTCTTAAAATATTTTTTCTATTTGAAACACAACTGACCATAAAATTAACCAATATACATTATTGTTTGACGTATTTTAAAAAGAATAATAATATTCGAAATTTGCATAATTTCCATTTTATATATAAAAAAAGGTCGGGTACACGAGGCCATTATCAGCGCTATAAATTTTGAAACGCAAGTGGTAACTGTCGAATGGCTGGAAAATAACGAGACCAAAGGAAAGGAGGTTTATCTTGCAAATTCCTAAATTTTTATTTTTTTTCTCTTCTATATCTAAAATTTTTATTCGGAGCCCAGCTGATTGACGGCTCGATTTATCCGGACCGTTTTGGTATTGAATACTAATTTACGATATTTAAATATTTAATAATGAGGATTAAGGGTGTATCCTGTTTGATTTATTTTCGATGCTTATTCCTGTTTAGCCTAGGCTATGCAGCTTTTGAACTAGGACACACTATTTAGATTTGTTTTAAGTGCGATTAATTTTGTTCTAATGAATTTAAACCATGCTCAATGACATTTTTTTGACCGATATCTTTTTTAAGATCCTTTTGATTTCGGAAATAAAGATCAGTCAAGTTCGGACCGCTCCACAATCCGAAATATTTTTTACAAAAAAGCGGTGATCAGCTGCATTTAGATCGAGTTTTGGAAATTAAATGGAGTCTACAAAATCTGTTCCCAACCTTTTGATTTTTTTAGGATTGGGGAGCGGACTGAACCGGATAGGATTCGGACCGTGAACTTCACTTACTAGGAATAAAATATTTCTTTAAAATTACGAAGATGGAAATAGAATGGAATAAATAAACTTAATTATAATATTTGAATTATTGTGCAAAAAATTATGGATTCTTCCTTAATCATTAATTATTTAATAATTGTAGATAAATTTCGATCTTTTTATCAAGGTTATTTCAAAAATCTTATTTGAAAACTTCGTACAGTTTTAAATATTTCAGAAGTTTTAAATTTTTAATGAGATCGTTTTTTAAATTTTTAAATTTTATAGAATTATATTTTGGACATGTTTTTATTTTGATATTAAAAAAAGCCTATTTCTGCCTTTTATAAAAGTTTGCTAATCTAGTTTTTTGATATTTTGGACCTAATAAAAATACGCATTTCTTTAAAAATATCATTTAAAATATAATTTTCCTCTTATGAATAATTTTTATATTATATTACTATTTTACGAATATATCGAAAGGAACATGATTTTTAAAAATAAATAATTAACTCCATCCTTTTTGGTTAGGAAAAAACATATGGCATATTTCTGAAAATAATAAGATTTTTCCTTACTCTTGTGATCGTCAATTTATTTTAAAATATGGTGGACGATTAGAGAGTATATTTAAGGAAAAGTAATTTTAAATATAGTAATGATTTCATAATGATTAGTTAATTAATATTAGTAATATCTTAAATTTATTTTATATATTTTTTGACTATATTACTAATTTATTTTTCTCTCCTCTTTAGATTCAAATATCGACGATACGAAATTTAAACCCCGATCTATTTAGCCCCGTCGTTAAAAAAGAAATTCAAGTGATACCACCTCCCGTTCAAGTTTTCATACATCTATATATGTAATATAATAATGAAAGAAAGAAGAAAAGAGAGGAAAAAAGAAATAAATTTCTGACTAATGAATAGCTAAGCATTTTTTATTGATTCATGACAATATTGAATTTTTTATATTTTATAATGTATAATATTTTTTGAATATATTTATAAATAAAAGGAAAAATCGTTGCCTCAAAAGTCCGGCTACAATCTAAGAAAAGCCTCTAACAGTAATACTTTAATTTTTTAATGTTATTGGGATTATATATCATCAAATCTACCCCACCCCCCTGCCCATATATGCCACAAAGAAGTTGCTTAAAGATGAACATTAATAATAATTGAAGGCTAAATAATGCTTGTAAATCCTTGTGATATATTTTTTAGGACATTATTGTAAAGAAAAATAATCAATAGAATAGTAATATAAATATAACATGTGATGATGATTATTTTCCACCTTACTTTTAAACCACTCCCTCTTTCCTAACTCATATACCTTCTATTTAAGAAAATCTATATATATGCGGACAAATGAACAAGTTAGTTTAGCAATTAACGCGCTAATTTTAAAAGTGGCTTAAATATAACTGATCTGAGGTCATAAGTATTTTGGATAGGGCAATTCATATTAAATTGCTTTAGTTTCCTTATTACATTTAACGCAATCTAATTAATTATACTATTTAAAGGACAAATTTTTATTCAAATATGAAAATAAATTTTACCACATCGTTATTTTTTAAGGCCATAATTTATGTAATATTTTTTTAAAAAAATAATAAACTAAAATTTTACGGCAATTTTTCTGATCTAGCGTTTATAATTTCTTTTTCGTTTACTACCAGTTTTCCAGCCCTAGTAAGCTACTAGTTTCCTTTCTGATCCTCCTTCCATTATTTTACGGTCATGTTCATGGCGATTTGTAAGATCCTTCTCACGTCATCCGTTTCTCTATATCCACTTTTTGGGGGATTTCATCTAGGCCTTGATGCCCTTACTTCCTTAAAGGATCATCTCTTCCAGTCAATTTTCGTTTAACATGCCCAAACCATATTAGTCTATTTCTTCTCACCACTCTAAATCACTTAATTTCAATCCTTTCTCGAAATTTTTTACTTGTTTTTATCTATTTCATAGATACCCCACACATCTATCTTGGTTTTTATCTGTTCTTTCCAATTAACTTCATGTGCCACCTTCATTGCTCATACTTCACCATAATAGACTATACCATTTCTCAAAACTTTACCCTCCATCTTCAGAGAGACGTTTTTATTTGTTTGAATAATTATGTTTCTTAGAACTTCTTCCACTCTTATCTAACCTTTGCTCACCCAACAAAACTTTTTCCAAAGTTATTCATTACCGATATATAATTCACTCTTACCTACGTTATCATCATTGAGACCTTTCGCAAATTCTGCAAGTAGATGTCAAGCCAGCTATATAAGACTAGCTTTCTCTTCACAACATCGTTTTTGGTGCACTGGATTTAATTTTTTAGCAACTCCCTTTCCACATATGTCAATAGACCAGGTGCCGGATTCCTCCACCTGTAAGTGGCCCTCCATTCATTACTGTCTTCTCTATATTCAGTCGTAAATTCATAAGCCATTAAGTCCTGTTACCACTCGTTAAACCCCCTGCTTTCCCTTTTTTCTTCTTTAACGCCTTCATTGGTTGCATAAGAATTTCTTGGAGATAAAATAGTTGGCAAGTAAATTAAAACCTTGTTCTATATTTTGATGCTTCCTATATTATCCTAGGAAACAACTTTCTAAGTTACTATATACGATTTTTGTAATTTAATTTAAGTACTAATCTTTAAAAATTAAGATGTTACATTTTTCAGCAGGTTATTATATTGGATTAATTTTTTTAATTTTTTTGTCGTTGTAATTTTAGGGGATATGGTTGATTGTTTAAAATTCGCTAAATTATCTTTTTGATAACATTATTTAAAACAACTTTTGGATGGTCAATAGCAAAACTGTGTGATGCCATAATGTTCTTAAGTATAGGTAACAGGTATATATATAACAGCACGTGATGGAGCCCATTATTAAAATAAAGGTATATTTTAATTTAAAATGCTTTATATAAAGCAATATGGTAAAGGTCTGGCATGGGCTAGGCCATGATTAGTCTATGTAAGTTATAACCTTACTAGCCATTACTTTAACAATCATACTCGGGTTATAATTTTTTTTTTTTCAACTTGACGGATTCTTTTATATAAATATATCACCCACCTATTACTCCTGCTTTTTAAAGTTCCCTCTCTGGCGGTTGCGAAGAAGACCGTTATCGCCAGTTCTCACTCCAGCGACCAATTAGGTTCTAATCATTCAAACCACAATCTCTCCCAACTTCAAAATTCCGTCAGTACCCTTCCACAACCCAAGTGTACGGCTGTTAAGTCCAACGGATATGCTACGGGACATATATCTGAACGGTAAAAAAAATATTTATTCATTTTTTTCTAATCGATAACTGGGTATAATAAAGGATGGGATCACATTTTTCCTCGATTGGATGAGAAATTAGTTGATGCAAAATACGGTAATTTTATAGAACGAACTAAATGCCCGTCTGACTAAATCAAATTCATTTTATTTTTTTGAAATATCACCTTTCATTATATATGTATCAAAATCATCGACAAATGGATGTACTTATCCATAAAAATATATGATACTCGATTTATTTTTATAGGTGAGTTTTATAAAACTAACTCTTATTTCTTATCGATATGAAGATCGAACAAAAGGGGAAATAGCGATGCTAACGTGGATTGTTATGGTGATACCAGGATGGACGTGGAAGACGCGGAAATTAATTACAGTAGTAATCAATACCTGCAATCGGGGCACCAGATAGACCAAACTTTCAGAGAGGATGATACTACGCTTTCCGATACTATTATAACCAATTCCAAAGCTTGTGGAGACACTGGCGGCAGAGTAGGGCTTAATGGAAAAGCTGTCTCAAATTTTAATAATGTCGCAAAAGTTTGTATAACAATTTTTTTTAAAGAAAAACACAAACTTCAAAATACGGGAATTCAATAAAATTAAATCAATAAAGTAATCTTTGAAGCCCATTCTTATTGTTACTTAATCAAAATGGTTTTCTATAGTAACCAGTACTACTAAATTTGACAGACAGCCATTTGATAGTCTCTATTTTGTTTATACTCGGGTTTATTAAATTAATTTTAAAGTTTACTTTTTTAAAATAATATTTAGCTCGTATTTGTATTCACTTTTTAGTTTTTCCCTTATGATAGCACATTTTTACCCAAAAAATATATCAGTGTTAAATATATTTTGAAAGTTTTGAAATTGTATAATAATGATTTAAAAGAGTACCCTAATTATTAAAAAATCTATCATAAAGTTAATTTTATAATTCATATTATGAAACAATGCGTAAGTAAATATTTTTATTCTAACAAAGAAGGATAAATTGTATATCTTTCACTTGTGGAGTGAGAGACAACGCTTTTAAACCAGTCATGAACCGAGCCTATTACGCGATCTGTGTTTTCTATGCGGTCTTTAGTTTGAGCTGGTCTTTTTATAAATATTTTAAATTAACTTATATAATGGCTTTTTATTGATCGCAACATTCGTTAACGAATATACTCGTTTATATTATTATTTATATTTTATTTGTTATTCCGCTTCGAGGTTTTTATTCATTCACCCCCCCCCCCTTTCCCACCTCATGAAACTGAAAACGCCAACTAGTCCTAAATAAGCAACATCTATCTCTCGAAAAACAAATATTTTCCAAAGTAGGGAATTTTGTTATAAAAAATGAAATAGTCTTTTCAATATAATGAAAAGAAAGTTATAATGTGTATAAACTCTTGGGCTAAGACGGAATAAATATATCCCCCCCCCCCACTAAGACTCTGATTAAAATTTTAATTATATAATCCAGGACATAGGCATTTTATTATAGTTAAAAAGAAAATTATAAACTCAGTTTAAGTTACACTGTAAAACATAACCAGGAAAATTTTAAGTGTAAAATAAAGAATGGTCTTGGAGCTGTCTTTTTTTTCAGTTTGAGATCCGAGCTTTTGACTTTCATTCAGAACCAAAGATCAAGGCGTCACTTTACTACTTAAATGGTCTCTTTCATCGAGTGAAATTTTGTATATAAAGCACCTAGATTACAATTATAGCTGGGTAATTGATCTATTTTTAGCTGGTTAAACTAGGGGTTTAGTCGAAAACTTTCGCATCAACCTTAAGTTTTTTTTGGAAATATAGGTCTGCTTTGATGAAAGCGGAAATATTAAGTCGAGTCTTTGCTTAGCGGCACTCGCCTCTAGTTTAGCACTCATTACCCAACTATAATTAGAATATTGTAAATTTCTATCCTCATTACCATGCCATGTCATCATTCTTGGCCTTTTTTTTTTATTAACCCATTTCTATAAGAAAAGAATCATGCCATCCAATTTTTCTTATATAAAATAAAAAGACCAAAAAAAATTTAATTATCAACGGCAAATCCCTCAACACAACGATAATTAATCACCACAATGGTGCCCCGAACGGCAAAGCTAATTTGGCTTCCAAAAAAGTGTTCCCATTACTAGGTTACAACAATGCAGCCGCCGAGTTAGAAACAAGTGCCTACGATAATCATATTAACATTCCCAAACTCGACAGACAACTCAAAGCCCCAGGGCATGTCACTCGCAAAAACAATTCCCCGAATCACAATACCAGCATGTTCAGCGAATATTCGGTAAGTGATCAGAATAACGCTTACAACAATGTCTCCCCAAATAATGCCACTTTTTGCCAGGAGGGCAGCGCCAAGGACGCGGCAACATTGATTGGAAATAGACTAAGCCGGGCTGCAGTCAAGAGAACTGATAATAGTGCGTTATATATATATTTTTTTTAAAATATTTTGTAGGTTTATTTTTGGGAGCATTAGAGAAGGATTGTCTATTTGTTTCGTTATTATATAATTTTTTAAAATTTTAAATCACTTTTTTAAAAGATCAAGTTGATATTTTTTTTACTAAATAAATCAACCACTACCCGTTAAAAAAAATAAGATGTGAAAAACTCGAAAACCAGTCATATAATCCCCACCACAATTAGCAATACTTTTAAAGCGCCGATTTCTCATAATACGAACTTAATGGCGGCCAGGAGCGTGAACGCTTCCCTCACATCCCTTTGCAGCAACGCTAGCTTGCCAAATCGCAAAGAATACCCGGCTGAAGGTTATACCAATGAAACCACTCACATTAATATTCCCCGTGAAAATTTGAGTAAACATGTATTTTGAATCGATAAAAGGAGAGAATAATGATGATTCAAAATTTTTTCATATAAACTTTTTTTTGTTTTTAATATTTGAAAATTTTATTAAATATAGGGATAATATCTCCGAGACGTAAGGCCGACACCAATATTTTACCTGTGAGCAGTACTTCTAGCACAGTTTTGCAAGAGGTAGATCGATTAAAGCGCAACAGGGATCAAAGAAGGGCCAAGCAAGCCGAAACCAGAGCTATCAGAGAAGTCGACGATCAATTGAGGAATAATCCCGATTGGGAATTTCTGAAAATGATAAGGTTTTTTAAAAAATAAAAAGAAGAATAAAGAAACGTTGTACCACTGTGATTATTTATTTATGTGTTATGAATTTTCGTTTCAGATACTCTTAAATTATACCCTTTCTGATTTTTGACAATTATTCAGAGTTTTTATCCTTACATATACATTACGCTTACAGTAACAACAATTACTCATCTTATCCTTTATTAAATAAAAAATTTAAGCAATTTATTTACCCTATATAATGTTTTCGCAATTATTATTCACTATGTAAAAATCCCAAAAGTCTCAGAAAATATTAATAAAATGAGAAAATTCTATTCTTTCATAGGCAGCCCTAAAAATAATGAACTTATTTTAAAATAATTCCCTTCATCCCCAGAGAATACCGCAGCTCCTTGGACTATAACCCGATAACCATCAACGACGAAGTCGAAAATCAACGCATATGCGTTTGCGTTAGAAAAAGACCTCTCAACAAAAAAGGTTTTAAATTTGATTTATATAAAAACAAGATAATATTATTCCTTTAAAAAGGACATAAAATGAAATCACCAAAATTTATTTGTAACATTTTTCGAGTTAATAGAACATCAACCCATCCCTGGCTCAATAAACGCAATATTAAAATGTAGAGTAAGTGAATTCATATCCTGTTAATTTCTGATTTATTTTTTCGTTTGGTCTCATAAGTGTAGAAATGTGGAAAGTAAACATATATAGCTATTATTGATATTATGGAAATATATGTATGAATATATCGTATTATATTATTTGTATATTACGAATTAGATATCCTTTATAATGATTATATATATATATATTTATGATTAATATAATATTGGGTGACGATTAATTACCTAACACCCAATCTGTTATAATATGATATCTGGATTATTATATTTTTATATCCTGCCTTTTATTCTGTATGTGTTATATGGATGAATAAATATTGTGTTTGCAATTATTATCTCAAATATTATATTGGCACAGTCATGGGTATAAATGTAAGTATAAAGGTGATCTAATTATTAAATTGGCGACAACGAGATAAATATCCTGTAATATGAATCTATTGGATGTTTTATAAAATAAATTATAAGGAATGATTGGGAAATGTCATGGTAAGTATCAACTATTTTGTAAATGTGATATTTATTTAAGCAATATGAATGTATTGAATATTTTATAAATTAATATTGATAAAGATAAAATTATGAATCAGAATTAAAATAGAATAAATTATGGAGAATTTGCAAAATATGTTAAAATTATGATTGATAATAAACTTAATTTGGAACATATTAATGGTTTTGATATTGAATTAATTATTATAATTGCTGACAAAGAAAAATTAGTTGATGAATGAATTTTTAAAAGAAAGAAAATAATAAAGTCATTTATTTTTGACAAATGAAGATGTGCATGCTGATTATATTGCAGAAATTGCATAAGAATAAGGTATATAAGATACAATTATTAAAAATGAGAAAGATAAAATTATGATTATTAAATGATTTATATAAATTTGGGGAATAATTCTATATTATGAAATTTGTGATGATATAAAATTAATTCAGGAAATTTGATGACTCAGTAAAAATGGAGCTTTATAGGATATAATATGGTGGAAACATGGATTAATGATATAATACATTTACGTGACATTGGGGAAAAAGTTACTGATAAAAGAACCTGGACTAATTTGGACATTGGGAAAAAGGCTACTGATAAAAGAACCTGTCTAATTTAGACATTCGGAAAATGGATACTGATAAAGAAACCTGGTTAATTTAGACATAAAGATATAAGGACGTTGGGCTCTCAAATCACATGACCTATGCAAAAACGAATGGGGCTTCCGTGAGCCATATATAGCCATATTTGGGTTAAAGACTTATGATGTCTTGTGTGATGTGCGGATATGGGTTATCTCATGGGCCATTCAAGGATAATAGCGATCTCTTGACCAGCTCTAGAATAACGGTGAGCTGTTCAATCACAATGTCAACCAATCTAAAATGGACTCGATAGCGATACTCCAGTGGGAGATCAAGCATACAATGGCCTCGATTACGATACTCTGGTGGGATCAATCAACAAGGGAAACGATATTGATACTCTTGGCATATCATTAATACCAAGGCAGCTTATATTGTTGCCCTTTGAGAGATCAAAATTTAAATGGGTGGGGGGGGGATGTTAACAAAATTAACCACACAGTAAAGGTAAATGGAGACCAAAGACAAATATTATTTAAGAGAAACAGTCGTCGATGCCTTTAGGAAATGTAGATTTCCCTTCAATTAATGAAGGGGAAATTTAGTAATATAGATAGTATACATATATAGTTATTATTGATATTATGGAAATATATGTATGAATATATCGTATTATATTATTTTTATATTATGAATTAGTATACTCGTTAATTAGATATATTTTATAATGATTATTTATATATTTATGATTAATATAATATTGGGTGAAGGTTAACTATCTAACACCTATATCATATAAATATGTGATAAGCAATATATATTTTATATCAACCTTTATTTATATGTGTTATATAGATGAATAAATATTGTGTTTGCAATTATTATCCCAAATATTATATTGGCGCAGTCATGGATATAAATATAAGCTAATTTATTAAAATAAGATGTGACATTTATTTTAAAAAAAAATCATTACAATTATCAATAATCGACTTAGTTATTAATATTAGATTCATTTGAATTGATTTAGTTTTCTAATTAATAGCTAATTATTTAACATCTGAAAACCTCAATATCTTAGTCAGATGATGTTTGCTAAACGGCTAAAAGTTTTGTCTTTAATCAAACTAGGGTATGTATGACATTAGACAATGTTTTTATTGAAATTTAAAAAGGTGGTCGTCATTTCGAAATTTAAAATGAAAGGTGTGTTGAGAGCTTGACATAAAATGTTATAACAAATATGGATGGAAAAAAATAAAAAGGCCTTCATTCAAATTATCAAGCATATTCTAAGTATATTGACAAAAATCGAATATTTATACATATTTTGTTGTTGCATAATCGTTTTAAATATTCAAGAAAACAATAGGAAAGAGATAGACGTAATAACCATACCCAATAAAGATGTCACTATAATACACGAACCGAAAAGCAAGGTTGACCTAACGAAATACTTGGAAAATCTTAATTTTCGATACGATTATTGCTTTGACGAAAACACCAATAACGATCTCATATATCGGTAATAAAAAAATTTTTTTAAAATAATCTTTTGAAGGAGAGATAAATTAAATCAGGTAAGAATAAATTGATTGAATATGAAAAAGGAGTTAATAGTTAGAAGGAAAGATTCGATTTAGGTTGAAGAAGTTTACCTCTGATAATTTTTTTTATTCTATCAAACGTTCAATTCGGCAGAATGGATTTATAATCGTGATCGAAGAAAAGTTATGCAAAAATTTCTTTTAGGCTGGGAAAAAAAAATTACTCCACAACAAAAAATATTGTTAAAAATAATTTAAACAATTTTGAATTTTAGATATACTGCAAAGCCTCTCATCGAAACTATATTTGAAAAAGGAAGGGCCACTTGCTTTGCCTACGGTCAAACTGGCAGCGGGAAAACTCACGTATTACTTTTTATTATTTAAAAAATAAATTTTGTAGGATAAAAGAGAATATGCATTATAGAAGCCCTGCATGTGAACTATATTTCTTTTTGAGTTCGACACTCGATCTTTCTTTTATTGTTCAACCGATTCCCATTTTGTTTTAGAAAATAGGAGCGCCGATCCGATCCAAATTTTTTTTTGGCGCTAAACGGATTCCAGACTATTTTATGGTTATTCTCTTAAAATATTATTCATAATGGTGGACCCATATCAAATTAAGTTAAATTAATTAATATTAAATTTAAACTTTATTAAATAAAATTCCAAATTATGGAATTATATAAAAATACAAAATGAAAAAATTAAGAAAAAATGTTGGTGGTGTTTCCCAACATGGGGCTAGAAACCACAACCCCGAGGTTAAAATATCGTCTTAAAATTTTAATTTACTAATTAGAACTCTATTTTAATTTTATAAATAAAAAAGTTACAAAATTATTTTAAATATATTAAAAAAAACAATTTGAATCAGAAAAAAAAATATTTAAATTAAAAAACAATTACCTGATATCAAAAACTATACTCGCAACACACAAAACATTTGGGAAACAAAATAATTTTAAAATTTTATCGAAGTTTGAGTTCCTAATGAAATTTTTTAAATTAAGGTGCGAATCTGGCTGAGTTTAGGAAAATGTTTGAGCTCGACTGACCTAAATTCGGTTGGATCAGACTTGGATATCAATTGAACTTGGATCGGTCCAAGCGAAGCTCAAATATACTTGATTATAATTTATAGTATAAGAGCATCAATATTTTGTTCAAAATTATATACGCAAACCTAAAGATTTTGTTCATAGATGACACAAAGGTTTGTACATCTGTTGACGACTTCTTAAGGCTTCATGGAATATTTTTTTGGGTAAAATATTGATTTAGTCATTTGAGCCCGACTCGGCTTATTTTAAAAAAATTTCAGCCCCGGCTTGGGTGTTTTTTAAATCCAGCCGTTTAACAATACCAATACAAAGGTTGCTATATTTACTTGAGTAGTTTTTGATTGACCATAGCTTTTGGCCTAAGTTTCTTATAAAAAACTTGTAAGTTGAGCTTTAACTTGTAGGATTGAGACAAATATTTTAGGCCTAAAGTCGTTGTGGAGTTGACTGATAGATGATTAAACAACACTAGTTTAATCAAAGGTTTTATGTTAAGTGCATCTATATCATTTTTTAGGCGATACCTATATTTTCATATTTTTTTGGAAAAAGAAAAAACGTGCTGATTTAAATCCCGCATTCCAAAATGTTTAGACTATTTAATTCATCAATGTTATTTATATTATATTATAATTATTTCTCATACTCAGGAAATAATTACAATGGAAGATTAAAGTAACGGTAACTTTTATCGTTGTCCCTTTTAAGCTAACGGTTGTCTAATAAACTACCTTTTTAAAACTAAAATGCTAATTATAACCGTTGATTTTGTGTAGATGCTCAATTCCTACATCTTCCCAATATACATTTTTATATAAAAAAAAAATATTAATAGACAATGGGCGGCGATTTTACTGGAAAAAATCAAGACTGTAGCAAGGGAATATACGTCTTGGCGGGTTAAACATTATATATCATATTTTACATTTAGCATAGACTTGTAGGCATAGACATATTATATAATAGACTGACTTATTAAGTAAAATGATTCTTATCATATTTGATTTTATCGACATATTTGAATATCGCATCATTTAATGTCCTTTATATCAACAAAATTGATAAAACGGGATTTTTATTAGTTTTTATTGTCATCAAGGAAAGAGGAGTTTTTGGCTCGACTTGACCCAGACTTCTAAAATCCTATTAATGGTTCTGGTTATTTGTTCGCTCAAAAATATTTTTGGTTGAATCAAATATTGGTCTGAAAAGGGAAGTCAAAAATACGAGAAGGAAATGAACCGTTTTCATGATCCTGGCGGAATTTTAAAAAATGATACAAAAGATCGGGCAGGGTTTTGATATTGATCAGCTGTTCTTTACTTGTAGTTTGTCATTAATACTCTTGGAAAAAGAATGAATGAACTAGTAAAATTATTACCTATAAAACCTTTCATTCACAGTTAGAGTGAATTTATGGTGAAGGATCCAAAAATACAGCATAATTTATATAATTCGCCGCAAATTGGCTCTAACTCCCTTAATTTTGAATTTTATTTTAAAATTTATATGTCATTTTAATTTCAAATAATATTTTACGTAACAGCTAAAGATGTCTTCAAACTTTTGCATTCTCCCAAATATAAAAAAATGGAATTGGATGTGTCATCTAGTTTCTTTGAGATATACAGCGGAAAAGTAAATCATTACTTAATCTATATACTTTTTTTTTCGCCCATTTTTAGAGGAATATTATTCCTCTTTAATTTAAATACCTGTAAATGAGTGCTGTCCTTAGTTTCCAGAAACACCACATTACTATTTTTTTAAGTGAAGAAAGACTCATTGTTTATTCGTGATTCAAAACAACATATTTTTTTTTGAAAATATATAAATTATAGGTATTCGACCTTTTGAACGACAAAGCTAAGTTACGCGTTTTGGAAGACGGAAAACAGAGGGTCCAAATAGTGGGTCTTACGGAGTGCAAGGTTGAAAATGTCGACGGCGTTTTAAAGCTTATTCAAGATGGAAGCATTGTTAGGTTTTTTAAACCAATTTTTTTATTATAACTCATCTTAAATTAATTAGATTTGATTATTTTTTTATATGATAAGTGGTAATTTTTAAATTTTATTTTAAGAGAAATAGTGTTGCTTAAGGACTCGATTATAAAAACGGCTAACCCAATATTTTACCCAAAAAATATTATGCAAGCTTTAAGATTTTGTTAATAGATGTCGAAACCTTTCTACCTTCTATGAGTAAAATCTCCAGGCTTGTGGTTATGTTATTTGAAACTAAGTTTATTTATATTCAATCGCTCACTTCATTTGTTTAATTTTGTTATTTGGATTCTGGTAACCATTTTATTATTCATATATAGGTAACCACGTTGGTATTATCAATTAAGATTATATTATTAGTTTAGATTATTCACATAGACCTTCCATTAATTATATAAGATTATAACATTTTGTAAAATTCATTAATATGTTTAGATTTTATTAATATATAAATAATATTGGTGTGAAATAAAGATTGAATTAATGTATAACTACACCACGCTGATTGCGTTATAGTTTTGGCTAAAATATTGGGTTTGCACATTTTAAAAATCGGGCCTTTTAGCAACACTAGTAGTTAGCCAAGTAAATGAGCCATATAATTGCTACGCTATTTAATGAAAGTAGTTTTTATACTGATCTTATGATTTTAATAATAGAGTTCAAAAATATCTAAGTTAAGACATAATATGTATTATTTTACCTTTTCGTATTTTAAATCGAATTAGGCCACTTATCATCGTCAAATTTCTGACTTTTCTAAAAATAGTGTGAGGTAATTGGTGACCTTGTTAGTTTATTTGTTATAATATAGATACATATATTAGAACTATCTGGGCTCAAATCATATCTGAATAAAATGTAAATTTTTCCTCTATATATAAATTTTATAACGAATGAAATGTCCTTCCCTCTTTAGACCTTTTATAATTAAAGATCAGTCTGTAATCTATATATAAAATGATTTAAATGGAATTTTTTTTTTTTAAAGAACTTCAGGCCAAACGTCGGCAAATTCTAATTCCTCACGTTCCCACGCCGTATTCCAGATTATATTAAGAACCAAGTATGGAAATTAATAAGTTAGGACATTTAAAAAATCAATACTAGAAAGACCCGATAGGTGATGAAATAAATGAGATTAGAATTAATTGAGGAAGTTTATAATTGACTTACTCGAATACGAATTGAATAATGAATTATTCTTATTTGATTCGAAATTATTCTATTCATATTCGTTTTTAAATATGTATAACTTATAAACATCTAATTTAGAGCCCTGTATGGACACGTTTAAGCTGGATACACTCTGAAATTAATATATTTTTATTTTATTAAATAAAGGACCTATTTTTTAAAAAAATACCCGATGTTAAAAAAAATAAATAAATTCATTTGTTAAGTTCCCTAAAAATTTAATTCTCGAACATTCTAATAAATGAGCAGTTTTTTATTATTTTTATTTTCTCTAATGCAATTTAATATTTTTTTTTTAGCTACACTTCCAGCGATATTCATTTCTTAATATCTGCCATTTCTATAACTTATATATTCTTTCTTCTTCGTTTAATGGCGCTTTTCAGGTTTACCCAGGAAGCCAATTTCCTATCTTACTTTCCTTCTTTATTTATGACGTTCCTGAGCATCACTTATTGTAAGATTCATTTTCCTCATATCCCCCGCTGGAATCTTTATCCAAGTCATCTTGGACCTTCCTCGAGCTTTTGATCCTCTTACTTCCATCATAAATTCTATAAGTATTTGAAATGTATGAAAAAATCTTTAAAAATTTTAGATCTATAAAAAAAATTTAAAGAAGATTTTTTTTTTCTGATTATACTATTTAAAACATATTCGATTCTTTCCGATACTTTTTTTGTGGCGTAGCGACCAATAAGTTTTCTTGGGATTCTATCGAGATCGAGAGGGGCCATATATGGTCCTTTTTTTTCCCCTATATTTTCACACATTTGTTTAATTGCGTAAATTGCATCAGTCGTTGATCTTTCAAATATGAAACCAAACTGAGTCTCCCTATATTTTTCGTAGAGTTACAGATAGTATTACATTAGTTTTATGACCTTGTAATTTTGACAATTATGTAGGTACCCTTTATATTTAAGAAATCCTCACAAATTAAAAAGGCTGATAAATCTAAAGGTAGTACCTATTAAAACAAAGATCATGATGAACAGGCTTAGGTAGTATAAACATATGATGAGAAATCCTAAAAACTAGAAGCAATGTTAAGGGTTTAGAAGTGATTGGGAAACGAAAGAGAGGAAGACTAAAACTTAAACGTACCCACAGTTAAAGCCAATATCATGAAATATAAATTCAATAAAATGAATGTAGTAGTCTACCACACTAAAAGGTAATCTAAAAAAGGAAGTTAAAATTCATATTACTTTATTAAATTAAATGATAGCCTGCATTCACAGTTAGCACGAATTCGCAGAGAAATATATAAAATATTACTATTTTTTAAAAAATAACAAGAAATGGCAAACTTCACGGCAAATTTTCGCTAATAGACTTGGCAGGTTTATAAGCTTGATTTATATATATTTTTCCCCCATAATTAAACGGCACACATGATTTACTATTTAAATTATTCAAAATATTCATCTATCTCTAAATATATTCTAATCATTGATAAATAGAGCCTACAACTTTAGATAGTGTAATCATTCTTAGTATAACACTTTATGGAAAAATTAATTTAAAATAAGTATCTACATTTTAGACTTGTTTTCTTCTAAAGCTTCCCAAAGGGGCCAGAAATTAAAATGAGATTAAACTGTGGCTGGTAAAAGCAAAAACAAAAGAAGGGTTAATTTGAAAAATAAGAATATTAGATTAGAGATTTGAAAAAATGATTTTTTAATTGATTTTTTTTATCTTCTAGGAAATGAAAGAGGAGCGGATACGTCTAGTTCCGATAGACAAACTAGGATGGAAGGTGCTGAGATTAACAAGAGCCTCTTAGCTCTCAAAGTTCATTATTTAAAACAAGATAATTTATTATTTTTTAAAAAATTCTACGTATCTCTAGGAGGCCAGTTTAAACGTTTTTTGGCACTGGCGGGCGCGGTCGGGTTTCTAAAATATTTTAAACATTGAGCAGATGGCTGGCAGGTTAAAAAAATTTTAAGTAATGGGCGGGCTTGTTTATTTTTAATATTTTTCAGGCGAAATGAGTAGAACGGACTTCAATTTATTAGAAATAATAGTTTTATTTTATAATATTGCATATTATCTATGTTTAATTAAAAATACATTAAATTAATAAAGAGCTAAACCAGGTATTAAAAGGATTTTTAAATATTAGGCAGGAGGGCGGGAAATTTCAAAAAAACCAGTTCTAAACCCGCTCATTGCAGACCTCTAAGATATTCTCCTAAATGACAAGAGATTAGTGACACCATTGTTTAAGATTTTGTTGATATATTAATAATATTTAAAAAATATACATATCAATATTTTTAAAAAATAGACTTCGTATAATTTGCGATTCAAGCTCATTAATACAAGTATATTTTTATAATATGATTATAGGAATGCATCAGAGCCTTGGGCCGCAAAAACGCTCATTTACCATTTAGAGCTAGCAAATTGACTCAAGTGCTAAGGGATTCCTTTATAGGAGAAAATTCTAAAACTTGCATGGTATATTTTCAAATTAAAAATGACAAGTAGATAAGGGATTGGGAAATGTTTCAAAAGTCTCTCCCATTTTTAACAATTTTTTTTAAAAATTTTAAATATAAGTGTTGCATTTCTGAATTTTGAGGATATATTATAAAAAATACCCCAATTTTACCGATTTAGAATCTTTGCTATTTATAATTAGTGTTCTCGAAAATCATTTTTTAAAAACGGTTAATTCAATATTTTAACCAAAAATGCTGCCTAAGCCTGGAGATTTGGTCAAATGAAGGGCCGAACCTTTCTGCCGTCCATATACGAAATCTCGAGGATTAGGTATATTTTTTTTAAAGTTAAGATCTTGATTTAGCCTTTTTTATAATTGACTAAATCGAGGTTTTTGACATTACTTATGACATTTATGGTGCAAAATACAGTTATTGAGATTGAATTGTTTCACCAGAAATGGGTTATTTTATTTTTTTAGACATTATTAATTTTTTATATTAATTAAAAATTATAATATACATTTTTATGATAAATCTATAAGATTGCCACTATATCCCCTGGGATAAGTTGTTGCGAGCATACTCTCAACACCTTGCGATATGCCAACAGGTTTAATTATCACTCGATATAATATAAAAATTAAAGGCAGTTGACTTAATCCTAGGAGCATGAAACGGAATGTTCCAAGAACAGAACCTGGATAAATTATGGGACGGAATAGGACGATAGTTCCAAAAATTAATTAAAATTTTTTAATTTAATATCATTACAACATTATAAATATAATATTTATAATGACCCCATAATATTTCTTTTTATAATTCCAGTTTGTTTAACGCATACCTGATTAAAATAAAAACATTTGTATTTGTAAATTTTAAACTGTTTTATAATAAAATTAATATCATAATAGAATTTTTAAATTTTATTGAATAATTTTATTGCTAAGTTAATGTTAAAAATTTTTAATTTGTTTTTTGATTAGCATACAAAAAGATTTATAATACAATTTTAATTGGTCACAAATTATATAATTTAATAAACCATTTACCCGTCCACACTCAATAAATTAAGCCGGCATTTGGTCTTTATTTAATTCACTTCCTATTCTCCGCCTGACAATACAAATTATTTACACGATTAACTAACCAAAAGTTATTCAATTTAACATCAAATTTTACTCAGAAGGTTCTCCTAGATTACTAAATTAAAATGTCACCAATTATATTTTACAAAAACCTGATAAAATTAGGGCTGTGCTAATCCACATATTTTTCGCCGATCAGATCCGATATTGCTTCAAAACCGATCCGATACCGATCCGATATTTTTACTGATTTAAATCACCCCCGTTTGAACCAAATGTAATTAAGAAATCATTATTTTTTATGCAAAAAATCGAATTATGAATTTAATTTTTTTATTTCTACAATTAAGACTATAATAAAAAAAAATATATTTAATAAATCCATTTTATGTTGGAATTATAATTGTAATATTTAATATATAAAATTATAATATATTAGATTTTTTTAATAAATATGAGAGCCTCTATAGATTTTCTGGGAATAATCTACGATATGGACTATCTATATCTCCTGCCGTACTGAAGGCAGACTCAGATGATTCCGCAGATAACACATTTTGCAAAATTATCTTTGTCCATGGTACAATATTTCCATAATTTAGATAAAAAAATTCTTTTATTTAAAATATAAATAAAAAAATTGGCGTTATTTAAAAAGATTTAAAATAAATAAAACTTTGGGTGTTCCTTTCTATTTTTATAAAATAAAACTTTTAAAATACTATTAAAAAAAAAAAATTTAAAAAAATTATTTAGAAAATACTATAATAATGTAAAATAAATATATATAACATAAAATAAAATAACAAAAAAAGAAAAGTAAAAAGATCGGATCTGATCTGATCGGTTTTTTACAGGCATCGGCCCGATCCGATATTTAATATCGGCACATCCCTAATAAAAATCATATGTAAATTGAATCCACTTACCAAGTTTAACCAACACAACCTCATAAATACTTATTCTTTACTCTTCCTTGTGATGCACTCCCTTCCTCTAGTCTCAAACCCGAGGAATATTTTCCCAACAAGTTTGAAAAGACCATATTGACATTAGGTGTATGTATGTTATTATATTTAATCTCACTACTATTTCGCCATTACGAAAGCTCAAATGCCCTATGACCACGTTGTTTACACTTAAAGTATGTTACTACTTTACTACCTTCCCTCTTGCTTAAACCTAATTACCTGGAAATTTTTTGGCTATAACATAATAGACATACAAAAATACCTTTTCACATAAATTGACACAATGAAAAGATTCACCTTGTTTAGATATTGATCAGAAATTTCCAAAGTCATGCAACAGTTTCTTTTCTATTTACTTTTAGTAGTGACAGTAGTCTGAACATATATCCTCTTTCCCTAATAAATAACTATTTTTTCGAATATCTACCTATTTGCTTACATGCCTCCAACCCTTCTTTTCTTTTACCGGTATACTTCTCTTGTCCTATTTTTGTATTCTAAACCCCCTAAATTTCGCATGATTAACCCCTATACATTCACGAATTTCGTTTTTAATATACTTTTTGCATTTATTTAATATACATTTTAGAATTATTATGAGCTCTAACTGCTATGAGACATATAAAGTGGCAAAACAAAATGCTATTTATAAAAATGAAGTCAAGCTAAAATGTAAAACAAGCTTTTCTTTGATTTTATTTTTGCATTGTCTCTACCTATCTGGACACATCCTTTAATAGTCGAAATATTCAATTTTTGCAATAACTTCTTTTGTTGCGTAATAGGCTAAAAATCTCACCTCGGCCTAATTAGACCTACCCTGAAAATCGGCTAAACTGGCTTACCCGAAAAATTGGCTAAAACTAATTAGGCATCGGCTAATCGTCCGTCAGCGTTACGCAACACTAAGTCTATCCTTAATTATTATTTATTTATTACATAGCACTGACGGATGATTAGCAACTCCTTAGATAATGCTTAATTTTCGACTAACTAATTTTAGCCTATTTTTAGGCCCACTAGGTTTAGTCAATTTTTATGCTAAACTTATAGGCTTAGTTGATTTTTTCACCTAAAAACCCAGGTAAGCAGTATTACGCAACACTATCTCCTTTCACATTAAAAACTATTATATATTATAAATAAAGAGTCAAAGAGTTAACCGTAAATGAAGCCGTTTCCGATGAAACTCTTTACAATGGAAAAAATAAATTTACAACTAACGTGGACAATCATGATGATAGTTACGAAATCGAACATCAAGACACAACATTGGTCAACGAGAAGGGTCGTAAATTGGCCAAAAACGATGATCAATATGCTGATCATAATTACAATAACGCCGCAGGAGGTGTCGAATGTCCGGATGAGGATATGATGACTATCTCTGACGATATGCTCTTCACAGGGGCCAACCACCTGGCCAGACTTTGTTCTGTAAATTCCTATTAATAGCCCTTTGATCTTTATAGGGCTAGGTGACTAGACCCGAACTGGCCTGTTAAAATTTTTGAAAAAGTTAGCCCATAATTTTTTTTACCCGGCTACTCCGATTCATAGCGAGCCGCCAAAAAAACTGAAATGATTTTAAAATATTTTTTTAACCCCGTTTATATTTTTAGGCTTATTTTCCCTAATACCTTATATAGAACCCAATTAAAATAACACATTTGGAAACTAATTTTTTGTACTAATATGTAAAAAAAATATGACTGGGCATTAAAAATGTGCAAAATCATCTCGAAAGTATTTAATATTTTTCAAGGATATTTTTTTACTAAAAAACCTATACCCCGAGCACAACATGCATCCCAATTATTTTATAGTTGGATAGTGGTGTCTAAGCTTGTTCTTATTTTATCTGCACTATGTTGATTATTTGAGCCAAACGGCCTAACTCACAAAGGATTTATAATCATAAAAATCAATCTCTACTAGTCTCGATAATACTATTTATATTTGTTAATTATGATTTATTTAAAAAAAACATCAGGGTGAGGAGTTACCTAATGAACTTTACAGCTTTCACGAAACCATGTCTCAATTGCAAGAAGTTGAAGAGGATATGATTGAACAACACAGATCATTTATGCATGTTTATTTTATTTGTTATCATTTCAAACTCGTGTATTCTAATTAATTTTAGCTTTCACAAATAAAAAAAATTTCTAACCATTTTATTTATTAATACTATTTAATTATTTTTTTATTTTATATCATGGTTTTATCTATTTTTGAAATATCGATTAATTTTTATGGTAACGCTATAATATATAAAATCAGAGTTTGAAATTTTATTTTTTTGATTTTATCATGAAAGTTTTTTTATGTATGAAAATTACAAAAGATTTGCTTAAAAAAATTATTTTATTATTTTTAAGTAAAATTTTATCATAAATCTCTTTAAAACTTTTAAGGAGGAATTCATGGTGAGATCCTATCCGACATGATTTAGCTGCTGAGAGATTTTTAAAATCTTTTAATGAGATCAATTTTTCTTAATTAAAATAAAGTTAAAGTAAAAAATGAACTTTGATAGATATAGGATAAAATTTAAATTGATCCAAGTGCATTATATACTCCATTATATTTATTTTTTGGTCAGGATATTCAAAACTCTTTGAACATTCATGCCACGCTGTTAGCGAAAACCGATAAGGTGGAATTCGATTCTGACGGTAAATTAATTCTATAATTTTGTTTATAGGCAAATTGGGGAAGGGGTCAAATGTTTGCTCAACGCTTAATTTACTATTTAGATAGCCTAAGATATTTTCTAATTTAGACAGCAAGATGTATTTTGAGCGAGTATGTTAGTAGATAGATATATATAAAATATTTTTGAAACTTTATATTGTATTTACAAATATTATTTTTTTAAATATTAGCATATACCCAAAAATTGACTGATACGTTAGATAGCACGGCGAATAATATAAAGAAATTGAAAGGTAGAATATATATTTAGTTTTAAATTGTTTAACTTATCCTATTTTTATTAATAAAATAATGATAGATTTTTTTATTTAGAGATAAATTATTCAATAAATGTGCAAAATAATATTTTTTTTATTAAAACAAAATTTATAGAAAAAATTGAGTTATACAACCAACACCTTTTAGAAGAAGAAAAAATGAGCTTAAACATCATGAAATGGCAAAATTTACCTTACTCAAAAATGAAATAAATTTTTGTCCATTCCTTTTTTTATTGATACCTTGATATGGAAATTGAAATAGTCGAAAATGTTTAGTATTATTTAAATCTACAGCTTATAAGGCTTGGCCAAAATTTTTGGTTATAAATCAATCAATCACAAATAATATATTTTTATGTGTCACTTTCCTTGTGCTTTTATTAATATTTAATAATAAAACTTTCATATAATACTCTTACAAACTAACCTATTTTAACTTAAAATAATAGCATAAATTTTTTTTTTTAAATAGCGCATATTATATTTATATTTTATTCATAATTTACACCAAATTTAAATACTTAAATTAACATTTATATGTTTTATTTTATAATAGACTTTTTAAAGAAAATATTTATTATGAATGTTGTAGAGCTCATAGAACGTTTTAAACCTTTTTAAAAATGTGATTAATTAGAAAATCGTATAACTTTTGTGAATATGAAATAGTAATTTCTTTGATATTTATATATTTTGTATATGAAAATAATAATTTCCTTAAATATTAATATGATTTAATCGATCTTATAGTTGTTTAAGTAACCTCAATAAATTTTTAACAAACCATCATAATTTATAATTTATTCAGCATCTTTTTTTATATTCATGATTTCGTTTTTTTGCTAATATAAAACATTGCAAAAAAAAATTCAATACAGTTTTTCTAAAAATTAAAAGAGAATAAATATGTTTTAAAGATATATTTTTAAATATCTTTGGTAAAAAAAAGATGGGTGGGAATATTTAAATCTAGTCAAATAAAAAATTTTTTACAATTAACTAGAATAATTTTTTTTAATATCATTTGGTGTCTAATATATATATAAAATAATTTGAAATTGAATTTGGTCTATAAATAAATTAGTGTAAAATTGATGCATTTTTTTCAAAATAATTGGACTTTTGTTTGTTTTTTTGAAAAAATAAAAATATATATAAAACATAATTGGATTTTAAGATGATCGGAATTCAGTAGATTGTGACAAGGTTCGTTACCAAACTAGAATATAGATTAGAAGGAAAAACCTGAGAGAATAGCCCCAGTGAGGGAAAGCGAAAACGCGATAAGGAGTAAAATGATATTCTTGCGACCCTTAAAATTTTGTTTCATATAAATTTTTGGCTAGTAAAATATCTAATTTAAAAATCCCCAAATATAATCTTTTAAACCGAAACTTTATTAACTCACTAATTATTAGAAGTAATACTAACCCTTACTCCAAAAAATCTACCAAATTAAATATCCAAATGTCTTTTTTTTACCTTGATCTCCTTAAACACAAACAGGGCCCAGAACCCGGCTATGATCGGCGGTAAGCTAGCTATGATAGGGAACGAAATGGTTTGACTGAGTATTTCGTTGGCTACAAACCAGGCGCAAGTCGCGACTGCCCACAGGAGCCCAGATACAAAAGTAGGGATTATGAGGGCAGAATTGATCCAAGGTTGTTTGCGATGAACGATTTTAGAGAAGCAGGCATAAGCGATAAAGTATAGCGTGGCACAAAAATATATGCCGGAAAAATGGGAGAATATGTAAGGCAGACCTTTCGTAAAAATAATAAACCATATAGTATTAAGGATCGAATTATAAATTATCCATTATGAATATAAAACTTAACCATTTTTAGACCAAATTCTACAAAAGCGAAGGAGGTATTCTCGGATCTTAATACATTTTTAAAAAATAAATTAATTAGTAAACCTCTTTTTGAAGCGTGCGGGTAATTGTCTTGTATATATATAACGGGCACAAAATTTATACCGTATAAACAACCAGCTAATATGGCCAACATACTTCCACTAGTACATATAAATGAAAAAATTTTGATTATTCTGTTAAAAAAAATTCTTACATAACCCGTTTCTTGAATTTGATATCGGTCGCAATAATGTTGCACTCCTTTGTAATGTTATCCTTTTTTTTATGTTAAAAAACAATTTTTTTGAGCAGCTAAACTTTTTTTTAAAAAAAGAGTATCATTTATTTGAGATAGGACGAGAATGAATGAATGGTTAATTTAATCATGATAAAGATTAGCATATGAAAGCATTGTAAAAAGAATATGATCAAAATAAAAACGTGCTGGAACTAAAGCGCTGCACGATCGAACTTGAAAAGACAGATCCGATTTGGTAAAATTTTAAATTATTTGGTTTTTCTTATGCCTTATTTAAAATTAATGGCATGGATATGTGCTAAGGACTAGCTCCACTAGTTCTCGATCCTGAAGTTATGAGTCAATCAACACTACTAATGGATTTCACAATGCAAGGACATGGTAGATAAGATAATTTATGGCCCAAAGCCGAGCCATATTGAAGGATAGGACGCGTTTTAAAGACGTCAACTGGTTTTAGGATTAACAAAATGAAGAAAAAAAATATTCCTTTCAATAACGATTTTTTCCTCCTGTCTTCCTTTTAATTTCTCCGCTGAAAAAAAAGGTTTATTCTTTCAACAGTCTTTTATTTTTTTTTCCAGGATTGATTCTATAACTAAAAATAAAATTTTAGATCGAATAAAACCTTTGTGAAAAAAGGAAATTTCGCTGAACTTGAATTTTTTGGTCCGATGCAGTGCTCTAGTTATAATATTTTACAAGATCAGTTCATGATGAGGTAAAAATTGGAGATCAATATGTTCACTTTTGAATAGTTGCATCTTTAAATGTTAATAAAGAGTATATAAGCTATAACTCGTTTAAAATAAACGCACAAATCGCTAGGTATTTTTTTTTTCAAAAGTAAGCAAACAATATGTAATATTTATAATGACTGCGCGATGCAATGAAATAAATTATGTTGTCATAGATAATAAATTTTACCTATTATTTGCTTGCTTTCGCCTGATTGATAAGCACTTAATATAAAGGAAATCTTATTAAAAATGAAATAGAAATTTTATTTAAAAAATACAGACTGCGATTATTGTTAATCAAGCGAGACGTTTTTTTTTCAAAGCGGGAAAAAAAAATCAAAATATTTTTTTTATTAACAATTATGTGGCGTTTGTTATGATTCTTTTATTATATTTGCAAAAAAATTGCTTAGGCAAGTTATAGTATAGTGTTGGGAGTTAAAAGGGTATCTGGAAATTGTTTTAAAAAAATCGTCTTATTTATAAATGGTCTATATTATGCGACGATTTTAAAAAAATAGAAATACTACAAGATAATATGAAAGTCTAACTAACAGGTTCTCTGTAGACTGATACCCTTCCACCTATCAATTTCGGTTGTGACCTAGCATTGATCCTCGGAACCACGTCTTCGATATAATCATTGTTATATGGATAAGGTTTGCCATTTCGACCAAAGCTTATGGGAAATTTATTTTTTGTTATGAGAATATTAGTTATTTAAAAAATCTAAATATAAGGTTCTAAATTCTCTTAATTATATTTTTTTTGAAAAAACAAGGCCATCCAATTGTTGGTTAACGTTATAAGATCAGCTACAAACTGAATGAAATAAAATTTTGCCACTTCCACAATATTCCTGATGTTATAAGTTTGTGTTGACTAAATTTTTGCCATTTCGCTTGCCTGAGAACTATAAAATGTTACTGATATATAGGGGGGGGGTAAATAAGTGGGTGTTGGTGTGAAATGAACGAGGGGGGTAGGGGCTAATTAACCCCATATATAATATCTCAAAGGTGATGTGCTTTTTAGAAAGGTAGATGGAATAAAAAATATTTAGGAGTAAATAAATTCCGATGCCATGCTGATAACTCGATTTGAAAACCCTATAATAATAATCATGCAACGTTATATTTTTGAAAGAAATTAACCCATGTAGCAAATCGTCTTCCTCAAAAGCGCTATCCATAATTAAAGCTATCTCTAGCGATTTATCCTCTCCGTTACTATAATCGCTCTCATTTATCTCATTGATATTTGTTATTTTGTGTCCTTTGGCATCGTTACTTTTACCGTTTTTTGCTCGATTTTTACCATCAATTACTGCTAAATCGGCGATATTTTCAGCAGCCATCGAATTTTTATTGTTTGGATGAGAGAAATCATTAGGAATGGAATGGTTTTTGTGGCGATATGTGCCGCCGATAATCGGAGTATCTAACAAATTTTGATGGGAAGTACTATAATAATCCTCTGACGAATATTTATCACAATCTTCGGTTTGTATGCTGAGGTAAAAAGCGGCGCTTGATAAGGTGTAGTTATGATACGTATATATATATATATATATAATATAAGTAATTAGGTTAGTGATAAAAAGATGCTAGAAAAGTGAATGTATTAACCAGCAAGGCTATCTAAAGGGTTTAAAAAGAATAGAAGTTCTTTAAAAGCCTTATTTGGGAATAGAGGGGATGGTAGAGATTAGCGGCTTTATGCTACAGGATCGTTAATAAAATTTTCAGAGTGTATTGGGAAATTTCGATTATATATTGTACCCTATTATCTTTAAGGGGTAAGGGCGAAATTAAGGAAATTCTTAAATACATTTAACTTTTTTCCCTATTTGACTTGTTGATACACTCCAAAGTAATTGATTATATTTGATAAAATTTAAAAACAATATTTCATCTCTTAATTTTGGGGTTTCAATTTTTTAAAATTTTTTCTTTCTTCAAAACCTTTATTATTTATTATAAAATAGCACTATATAAATAAAAGAAAATTTATATATGATATAATTAAAATATATTACTATTATTCAAAATTCCTAGCTATAATATTATGTTGGCCTATCTTATTAACAAGTCTACCTTTGCCTTTATAACTGCGGCTATTTCTGTGGCATTGAATTAATGGCACATGTTATGGGGTATTGATTTCCTGTGATACAACACCGCTTTCAAAGCTCATATTTGAGTAAGTCTAATCTGGTGAATAATTACAGGATGTTATTATCGTAGAAAGATTTTTGTAGATTTCGTAGCATGACAAGGAGCTCCATTTTGTTAGAAAATGTAATTTATTTCAGGTCTTAATAACTGGATGGGATTCATTGGGGATTATTTAACAGCAAATAATATATAATTTATAAAGAAAATAAATCATAGGCTTTTTGCATTCATAATACTCCACCATTATACTATCCGAAAACTTAACAATTCCTAAGTAATCAGGATGGAAGCTTTCTGCTTGGGGTCTTAGCTCTAATTAATATCCAAAACGTATATTAGTTTTGATCCGTCATTAAATATTGAGTTCTTCCATTGTTCTTTTGTCCAATTTATGTATTTTAATGCCCAATTTGAACTTTCCTTCCTTTATAATGATGTTAAAAATTGTCTTTACTTAGGCTAAATAAAATTTTAAATAATTCATTCTCTCGTATGGAAGGGATATTTGAGTGTCATCTTCGTTTTAATATGGAAGCTTGCCTTTTAATTGTAGAAATCTCATAAAATCATATCTTTGAAGAGACATTTTAAGAGAAATCTTTTTAGAATCCTCTCGCGGGGATGCATTATTCTTGTATGTATTGTCTTTGTTGATAATTAAAAAGAAAGAGGTTCTGATCCCCTTCCTTAGTAGTAGTAGTAAAGATTCTATGAAAAATAGGACTAGCTGCATTTACCACTGTATCCTAGAAATTGGGTACCGACGGATGAAAACCCAGTTGACTACCCTCAAGTTCTTGGTGGTAAAAGAGATATGATATTCGGTCAAATGACTATTCAGGTCCTCGACAAATTCAGTAAAATCTAGCTCAACAAACTTCCAAGATCTGAAGAATAAATCAGCGAAGCAACCCTATCTATATTCCCCAGTCTATCAACACAATAAGTTATAAGAATGTTAAAAAATCAACAAAAATAATACATACCAAAACGATACATCCCCGCGATATATTACTATAAATATAATGCGTTTTTATTGTCTTCTCGCCTCGGAAGCTTTTTACATTATTTATGTTATTTAATTATTTCGTTTTACTCGAGTATATTTCAGAAAATTTTTGAATAATAAATGCGTTGTGATCGCAAAATTATAAAGGCCAAGGCACCACACTAAAAACTCTTAAGTCTTTTCCTAAAGAAAACAAGGGTTTAGTTTTTAAGCGCAAAATCTTTAGACTCCTCTATTTAGAGTAGACTCAAAAAACAATATTTTTTATTTATCTTTATTGATATATCGATGGATAATTGATTTGCAAAATGTGTGCCAGAATTTCATCTTTTAGGTAAATTAATAATGATCTCACGAATTGGATATTAAAGGCTCTTATAATATAATATAATTTAAAATAAAATAAAATAAGCAGACGATAGTTAATTTTTAAAAATTACGATAGGTAATAAATTAGGGGAATATTTTGGTGATCAGTGGTGGTAATTTTTAAAACACTTATATTTTTCTCATAATTCATATAAATTAAATTTTAATCAAATTTTTACAAATATTAAATATCATATACATTTACATTAATTAATTTTTTTAGAGATTAATTAATTATTTTTAAATTTAAAAATTAACGTAAGCAAAAAATCAAGGGTTACTAATATCAAAAAGATAGGATTGCAGTTAGATTTTTCTATTCTGCCCAGTAGCGTCATTAAGGGGAGATTGATCTTTATAATGTTAATGAATATATAATGCAAAAAAAAAATAATTCGTAAATTTGAGATTATTGGGGTAATTACGATATATAAAACAGTAATATACCCTCCAAACATCAAATATGATGAAATAATGATATATGAATTATAATTTATTTTTTTTATAAGTTTGCTATATAAAAAATAATACTCTGTTTTTGACACTATTGTGGGCTATAAAGTACTAAATTAAATACTTTCTCTTCATTTCTTTTTAATATATGGAGGATGTTAGTAGAAAGATAAATTTCCAAGGAAAAGGGAATCGCTAAATAGAGGAAAAAAATGTTATTAAGAGGGGAATGGTACTCGAGGATTCCTGAAAAGATATTCCTGTATAAATTTATTTCATTGACTATACTGTCATAAAGTACTTTTTTTGAAAATGATAAATTATTAAAATAATAATAATAACGAAAATATATGTAGTTAAAAAAAACGGGCTAGAAATTTAATTTTCAAAATGCGTGTTGAGCTCTGGGCAGTTGGGAACTAAAAGAAGGGCATCGGGATGAACCTAAGTTTTGTATAATTGAATTGTATGCATGTTGGTCAGTTTCAAGAAAGATGTTAAAACTTAATCGATAGAAATAAAAGGCTATCGGTTCGTGTAGTTAATGAAATAAATTTTGTAAATCAAACGTCCGAATAAAAAATCAATAATGTTAATAAAAAGAGAACACATTTTCATATATATTTTACCATTCAAGGCCGAATGAAGGTCAGTTTTTTTTTTGAATTGTATTCATTTTTTAAAAAAAAAAATTATTTAATTGTCCATTATTTTTATGGTATGCAAATTCAATTACTTTAATACTTAGAAATATTTGGCATTTCGAGGATAAAATGTGATAAACAAATTATTAAATTATAACTTTCACAATTTTATTTTATCTTATTATTTTTTTTAAATATTTTCTTCCTTTTCTTATACCTTAGTCTCAAATCCTTATCCTTCCATGTGAAGTGAAACATTTTATCAAAAAATAATGCATAATTCTTTTTAAATAGATATGATCTAAATATTTAAACTAATTATCTGGCAATAATTATGATGAATACTTTCTTTATTTGGCTTTAAAATATAAAACTTGATAATCAATCATGATTTTATATAATTTTAAAATATATAAATTTGAATTACCTTATGATAGATAAGATGCAGGCTATATAATTCATCACTTCGTGTTGGGGTATCTTTGGATGTATGCCAAATAATCCAAATCTAAAATTTATTATTAAATATTTTACTTTCTAATTTAAACATAATGCTAAGAAAAGAGATGAGCAAAAATTAGTGCTGTAACTCGTTGCGTTTGGAAAAAAGAAACGAATTACCGTGCTCATTACTGTGTAAAAAAACGCGCTACTTACTATTGAAAAAAATTAACGCATTACTCGTTACTTAATTCTAAATATTATATTCTTTTATTTTTTTTCCCCATAGATAATAAAATACAAAAAGAATATAATTATAAGGTTCGTTTGGTAATATTTTTTTATTTATTTTTAACAATTTATTCTCGAAATTTTAATCAGATAAACAAGAGCACTTAGTGATACACATTAAACTGGTGCATAGGATCGGGTTGTATTATATAATAAATAAAAATTATAATGGGGGAATTTATAAAAATATTTAAAGAATGATCTTTATTTTCAAAAAAATCTTATTAAATCATCTTCATAAGAATCATCATTCAGATCAGATCATCATCAAAATTTTATCAGAATATTTTTACTTTATTTTTTTTTAGATTTGAGCTGCTGGACATTGATGTTAAAATATTTGAATTAGGGTACAATCTACACTTTACAAAGTGTAGAATTAATGTTCTTAATTTGTTTTATTTGTATAAAAAATGTTTGGCATGGGCAGAATTAAATCATCTTCAACTGAAAGAAATAAGCATTATTAACATATTTCAATAAAATAAATTATATCAGAAAATGTAAATTTTATTGATTCAATATTAATTAGATTAACAATCTTGGCACTTGGCAGTATAAAATTTGACGACTCGGCTTATATCTACTTAATTTTTAAAAAATATAATAGACAAAAAAAATTTTCCATATTCTTCAAGAATTTTTTTTAAGTAATGAGTAATATTTTGACTTACCATTACTCATAAATAAAAAATGCATTACTCATTATCTTTTGAAATAGAAATGAAGATGTTCTTTTTCATCAAAAAAGGTAAAGCCATTAGTAATATAACAATATTTTACAGCACTAGTAAAAATAAATTTAATGATAAACCTTCCACATGCCCATCCAATGATCAAATTAAATGTAGCCCATATACACACTCCTAGTCCTAAGCCAATGTATCTAAGGATAATACTAACACATAAACCCCCTGAAATAATTAAAATGTTATTTTTTTTTTATAATTAATCAGTAATAGTTTATTATTAATAATGAAGTATAAGAAGAGAGAATTTACATTTTTCTTAGAGAATAAAGTTTTTTTAATCCAAAATTTATTGATACTAAATCAATATTAATTAAAGCATGCATTAGAAACTTAATGTACATAAATAATGATATATTTAGGAATTTTAATATATAAGGTAAAAGTACATTTATAAATATTCTTAAACCTGTAGCCCAAAATATTCCTCCAACCATTCCAAGTGGATAAAACGGTGGAGTACCTTGCCATAAATTTACCATTAAGCCTATGCACCAAACAGCTGAACAATAAACCCAATTGAAAAAGAATCCTTATTATATAATATATATTTTTAATATTTGGCAAAAAAACATAATAAATATTTTTAAAAATAGTTTACCATTGCCAGTTTCATATTTTTTAACAACAGCTAAATTGCTTCCGAATAATATAACTGCTATAAAGCATGCGATATACCCAACATAAAGAGGCTGATCAGAATGATTATATATCATTTATCACATCTGATTTTGAATCAGTGAATGAATATTTATGTTGGTATAATATTGGTTGATGTTAAATACTGCCAATTCGACATTAGCAATTTTCTAAACAACAACTAATTATTTTTTAGAATGCAAAAAATCCATTTTTTACATAATAGTATGCATATTGCTTTTTTTTAATGAAATAATAGAGCCAAGCTTAGATTCTCTTAAATCCCATCTTATTGGGTTTAGAAATTACCGGTAACCTAAGAGAGAAGCCCATTAACTAATTTTTAGGGGCTGCAGTAAGCCTCTTACTTAAACCCCCATAGGAAATAAAAAAAGTTAGAGATAAGCCCATGCCTGATTAAATAAACTTTTTAGTTATGGAATAGTATTGGCAAGGTTAAAATTAACTTCTATTATCATGTGAATGTCGAAAGAAAAAACCTTAAACAAAAATATATCAAAACAATTGATAAAAATTAATTATATAATATAATTGTGGTAAAAGTGTAAATTTTGCGGTATATTATTATTATAAAGAATAGAAGAAAAAATAATATTTGTAGAAAATTATATAATATTAGATGATTTTTTTTTTTTTTCGATATATTATTATTATAAAAAATAGAAGAAAAAAATAATATTTGTAAGAAATTATATAATATTAGATGATTGTTGTTTTTTTTTTCGATATATTATTATTATAAAAAATATATATAGATTGTGATTATTAAAAAAAATTATTATTATCATAGAAAAAAAATAAAAGTTTTGTTCAAAAAAAAAGAAAGAAAATTTATTGTTGTTAAGAAAAAAGATAAGTGGATATAGGGGAAAAAAAACTTTATAAAGAAGAATATTGGTCACGTAAGATCAATTTTAATCAAAAAGGTGGAGGAGAAAAATATGGAATGTTTTCGATGCCGAAGACATGTGGCGAGGGATTGTAAGAATTTGTGACTATATGAGTGAAAAAATTGCAGGACAGGTCGGAGCGAGATGGTTAGGAGGGACGGAGGAGGGATTTAATCAGCGAAAAATAAATAAAGAGGGATGCGTAAATATGTTTCAAGAGGGGATAGTAAATATGCTACAAGAGGGGATAGTCCATGATCCTTGTCCTAGAGTCATGATAAATCTGGGGGGGGGGAAGAATGGTTCCTATGTTTGATGGGTTGGGATTGAATCACTAGAAATGGTCCATGGTATAGTTTTTGGGGAGTATTTTCATGGTGGGGAATATTTGTACCAATAACGAGTGAGGAATATGTCGTTATGACTTTGAGAGAGAATGTGTTGCCTGGAATTGAAATCATGTTTAATGAGGGAAACCGTGAAAATCTTCCAAGGAGCGATAATTTAAAGAGCGTAACAAGGAGAAATAACTCTAGGAGCGAAATCAGGAGCGATAATTTAGGGAGCGGAACTAGGAACGCTAATTCAAGGAGCGACAATGCAAGGAGCGAAACAAGTCTAAATAATACAAGGAGCGATAATTTAAAGAGCGAACAAAGGAAAAACAATTCCAGGAGCGATAATTCAAGGAGCGGAATAAGTGAAAATAAATCAAGGATCAAAATAAAGGGAGGTAATGATAGAACAGAAGTAAAAGAGAAAAACTTCAGGGAGACAGAGGGAAGAAGAATCCTAAAGGTAAAATAGGTGAAAGAAATTCAGGGGGAGAAGCAGCGAACAATGATTCAAGAGAAGAAGTAGTAAGAAAGTACCCAGGGCACGTTGATGCCGCTGAGAGGGGTCGTGATATTACAAGGAGAGATGAGGAAAAAAGGTGAAGGAAAGGAAGGAGGAAGTACATGAAGAAATTCGAGAAGTGATAAATAACACTATGCAGGAAAATCGAGAAATGATGAATACAAAGACGAAAGAGAATTGGGAGGTAAAGAAGGAAGGAACAATGCCCAGGGAAGAAAAATTGATAACTAAGGAAGACGAGGGGAGAAAATTGGCTATGACCCGAGTGCAAAAAGGAGTATGAAAATTAGTACAAAGTTATAAGGAAATTTTCAATGAAGACTTGGAATGCCTCAGAGATTATGAAGTAGACATTAAATTAAAGGATGGTTGCGTTCCGAAGTTTTGTGCGTTACGGAGGATACCGTTTGAATGGTGAAGGGAAGTGGAATTAGAGTTGGATCAATGGGTATGAAAGGTATTGTATGTCCGGTGGAATACAGTGAGTGGGCGACTCTGTTAGTGCCTGTGAAAAAAAGCCAATGAGATACTTCGTTTATGTGCAGATTTTCGAGTTACAGTAAATCTGTGGGTAGTAGAGGTTAAATATACCTTGCCGAGAATTGAAAAAATAATTGGAGGGTGTACATGTGGTAAAAGTGTAAATTTTGCGGTATATTATTATTATAAAGAATAGAAGAAAAAATAATATTTGTAGAAAATTATATAGTATTAGATGATTGTTGTTTTTTTTCGATGTATTATTATTATAAAAAATATATGTAGATTGTGATTATAAAAAAAAATTATTATTATCATAGAAAAATAAAAGTTTTGTTCAAAAAAAAGAAAGGAAATTTACTGTTAAGAAAAAAGATAAGTAGATATCGGGGAAAAAAAAGACTTTATAAAGAAGAATATTGGTCACGTAAGATCAATTTTAATTAATAATAAGTTTTGTATTAAAAGCGGATTATAGTTTTATTGGAATAATATAAAAATAATGATAAAGACAAATAACTAATTTTTACACGACAATATAGCCCTAGCTATTAAATAATAGAATCCCGCACCTGCCTTCGATCTACTACATATAGCCTCAGAAAAAAATATGAAGCTTGCTGGTGTAGTAATGTGGAAATCGGATGTATGATTAAATTATAATACATATAGTTGATACTGATATAATGGAAATATATGGTGATATATTATATATTATGAAATTGTATATTCATTAATTAGATAAGTTTTATAATGATTATATATGTATGTATAATATCGGGTGGGAATGTTTAACATCCCAAAATTGTTACTATGTAGAAAGATCTATTATAATTACATATCCGACCTTATTATTGTTTGTATGAATGGTAATCGTTGTATAAATAAATAAATGTGTTATAAATTATCCTATGTGAAATTACCCCATTTAGAAAGATCTTAAGTCAAAACTATAAATTAGAAAGACATGCTCTTATGGACTACGCCATGGACGCTTTCCTGAAAATTGATTTTTTACATATATATATATTATAAATGTGGCAGTCTCCATCTAAAGAATAAATAAACAAAACACCGATTGGATCAACACTGCTTTAGTGGCTAACATCAACTTATAACTTTATAATTCGTGATACATTAAAACACATGTGCATGCTAACAAATAGCCAACTTTAAATATATATTTGCAAACCCATATACTAGATCAAGGCATGAAAATATTATAAAGTAAAATTATGTGTATTGGTAATACTTTTATCAGTGACGATGAAGCGTCAAGTTTACTACTAGGGAAGCAATCAAAAAAATTTTTTTATTTTATTTTAATCAAACTCAAATTATAAAAACATTAAGATTTATAAATAAGTGGTATTCGTCTTTGTTTTTGAGTGAAATGATCAATTTTATAAAAGTTAGCGCTAGATTTTAAATTTTTTAATAATTTTTTTTTAATCGAAATCAAAGATAGATTAGATGATCTATTTTGGCTTATCCTGTTTCTGCTATAAGAATAGATTCTTTTTAAAGATGAAAAACTTTGTTCTGCACTTGCTGTTGTTGAAGCCAAAGTTAAGATGAATTTGCATAATTTAAAAAACTCTTTAAAACTTTTCATCAAATCGGTGCATATTAAAAATTCAAGTATTTCATTTTCTTTTTATTTCTAAATTCATGATCCCCAAACACTACCTTTAATTCAGTTTCCAACTTGTGTAGAGAATAAGTATCGTTTAAATTATCTAATAAATATTTTGGAAAATTTTGATTAAATATTTGGAATTTACTAATATCTAACAATTCAACGAATTTGATATTTTTTAATGTATCAAACCGAAAATCAATTTCATTGTTTATATTATCTGTTATTTTAATTATCAAATTTTTATAAAATTCTTTTGTATTGGAAAATCCGGATCTATTATGTTTTTTATCTAAATTGTCTTCAATATTTTCTTTTACATTTAAAATTCTCCAAAACACATCAAAGTTTTCTATGTTTGATTTAACTGAATTTCTGAAATCGTTAATACATTTAAGGCAATAAGATATATCGTTAATTTTAGTTTGAAGTATATCAAATAATAAATCAGATTCAGGAAAAATTTCTTGAAAAAAATATAATAAAATTAGAAAATTTGCATCATTCAATATATTTAAATAGCCAGCAGATGTTATTAGAACATCATTATCCCAAACAATATTAAATTCTCCATCAATCATACTTTCAAAAAAAAAGACTAGATCCTTCAAATAATTGAAAACTGTTTGAACCAACCGACCATTGTATTCCCATCTCGTTGGGGTTACCCGTGGTAATTTTTTTAAACATATTTATTTCCGCTGTTCGCTTAGATGATGTACTAAAAAAACTGGCTAAACCAAATAAAGTTGCAAAAAAAACTTTACATTCTTTAATTTTGCTGCAAGATTTTGATAATATAAGATTTAACTTATGGGCAAAGCAATGAATATAAAGTGCTGAAGGATTGACGTCTCTTATTTTCGCTTGTAGTCCATGTGAATCGCCTGACATAACAGCTGCGCCATTGTAACTTTGACCTATTAATTTTTTTATCATTCAAGAATTTTATAACAAATTTTGATAAAGAATTAGCATCTCGATGCATAGTAACATCAAAGAATTCAATAAATCTTTCATACAATATCCCGTTATTTAAAACATATCGAAGAACTACAGCCAGTTGATTTATTATTGATATCTGTTGTTTCATATAATATTATTGATATAAATTCCGTTTCTTCTAATTCGTTTAATATTTTTTGGTGTAAGACATATGAAATGAAATTTATTAAATCATTTTGAATATCGCTTGATAGTCCAATAAATATTTTCTAAATAATGTTTCAATA